TGTGTGTGTGTGWGAGAGAGAGAGAGAGAGAGAGAGAGAGAGRGAGAGAAAGAGAGAGAGATATATATAKAGAGAGAGATAGAGAGATCATTGTTAACAGCTTAAAATAACCTAACTATAAGATGCTATTTGTAAGCCTCATGGTAACTACAAAGCAAAAACTATAATGTGTACAATAAAATAGAAAGCAAAAAATCAAAAGATATTCATAGAGAAAAATCACATTACCACAAAGAAAAATATAGAGATGAAAAAAAGGAAGAAAAAAATCAACAAAACAATCAACATAATGACAAAATTCTTGATAGTGCTTACCTATCAATGATAACTTTGAATATAAATGTTTTATATTCTCTAATTAAAATACACAGTAGCTAAATGAATGAAAATAACAGCAAGTAGACTCAATGCTGTTTATAAGAGGCTTATTGGTAAGGACAAATACTGAAAAGTGAAAAAGTGGAAAAAGAGTTTACATGCAAATGGAAACCAAAAAGAGCAGGGGTGACTATAATGATATCAGATGAAATGAACTTTCAAAACTGTAAATAGATACAAATGCATCATTATATAATGATACAGGGGTTAATTCAGCAAAATGATATGATAAAAGTATACATGTACCCAAAGCAGTAGCACTCAAATACAAACAAATATGAATAGTACTAAAGAACAAGACATATGACTGCAACTCCTCACTTTCAGTGAAGAACAGATAATACAAACCAAAGTTGATCAACAAAAATCAGATATATGTTGCACTGTAGACATATACTGATCCTATTGAGGGTAATTAGCCCAAAGAAGAAATGAAAGACATCAGATTGGAAAGAAAGTTATATTGTCCCTATCTATAAATGACTTGATCTTATATATCGAAAACCCCCAAGACCACACCAAAAACCTGTTAGATTTAATAAACAAATTTAGTAAAATTGGAGGATATGAAATCAGTATACAAAAATCAATTTCATTTCTATACACTCAACAGCCAACTATCTGAAAAACATCAAGAAATTGATTTCACTTCTAATATTTATGAAATAAATACCCAGGAATATATCTAATTAAAGATATGAAAGATCTTTAAAAGTAACATGATAAAGCATTGCTGAAAAAAAGGGAAAAGAATATACATAAAAAATAAAAAGACATCCCAGGTTCATTAATTGGAAGAATAAGTATTGTTAAAATATCCATATAAAAAAACAATCTACAAATTCAATGCAATCCCTGTCAAAATCCCAATAATTACTCTTCAAAAAAAAAATAAAGAAAATCCTGAATTTTATATGGAACCACAAAGGATTCTGTGCATTCAAAGTAAACTTGAGGAAAAATAATAAAGTTGCATTCATCACACTAACTTCAAAATATTGTACAAAGTCAATGTAATTCAAGCAACATAGTTTTAGCATAAAATAGCACACAGGCAGTGGAACTAGGGAGCCCAGGAATAAATCCACATATTTACAGCCAACTGGTCTTCAGAAAAGGTGCCATGATCACTCAATAGGAATAGGACAGTCTTTAATAAAGGGTGTTGGGAAAATTGGGTATCCACAGGCAGAAGAATGAAAATAGACCCTGTCTCTTAAAAGTTACAAAACCATCTTGAGATGAAGACTTAGATGTAAATCCATAAAACATAACACCACTACCAGAAAACATAGGGAWAAAGTTTCATGACACTGGTCTGATAATAATTCCTACATATGACCTCAAAAGCAAAGGAACAAAACCAAAAAAAGACAAAAAAAATACATAAAAATTAAAAGCTTCTGCACACCAATGAAATAGTTAATAACAGAGTTAATGGAGAAAATAATGAAAACTACATATTTGGCAAGGGGTTTTTGTCCAAAACTTGTACATAAGGAACTTAATAGCTAGAAATGAAATAATTTTATTTTTGAAAAAATAAAGACCTGAATAGACATACTTAAAAGAAGACATAAAGATGACAAACAGGAGTTTTAATGAACTTTTTTTTAGTGATATAAAGTTGAAATGGGGTATCACCTCATGCTTTGTAGAATGATTACTATTAAAAAGATTAAAGATAGCAAGTATTAACAAGAATGTGAGCAAAAGGGAACCCTTGTCACCCTCTTGTGGAAATTTGATTAGTATAGCTATTATGGGAAATAATATGGACCTTCCTCAAAAAACTAAAAATATAGTGTAGCAATACCAGTATACTAATTAAATATCCAAAGAAATTAAAATTAATATGTCAGATATATCTGCACTCCTATGTTTATTATAGGACTGTTCACAGTAGCCAAAGCATGATTCCAGCTTGTGTCCATCCACAAATGAATATATACAGAAAATGTAGTAAATACATGCAATTGAACGCTCTTAATTTATTAAAAATGATATTTTATAATTTGTGACAATATAGATGAAACTGAAGAATATTAATTGAAATGTTCTATGGACAAACTATCAAATGCTGCATAATGTCATTTACATACGGAATCTAAAAATGTTGATCTGATAGGAGAGAGCAGAATGGTGATCTCCACAGGCTTGGGTGGTTAGGGAGAGTAGGAGATGGGAAGATGTTAATTGCAGGCAGATAGAAGGAGTTTTAAAAAGTGTCTAGAATAGGCAAATCTGTAGAGACAGAAAGTAGTTGAATGGGGGCAGGAGATTGAGAGAAGAGGATTGGAGGAGAGGCGGGAGAGAAATGGGGGATGGTTTCTAACAATTATGGGATTTCTTTTTAATTTTTTTTCATTCGGATGATGAAAATATTCTAAAATTGATTGTGGTGATGGTTTCATAACTATGAGCATATGAAAAATCATTGGATTGTACACTGAAGTGGACAAATTATATGATATGTGAATTACATCTCAATAAAGCAGTTTTTTTCAAAAAAGGAAGTATGCCAGAAAATCAATTTATAAAACATGATCTTTATTGTAAAGAAATGAAAATGAAAAATAGCACTTTTAGTAGTGTATTTAGCATATGAGTTGCCCAGAATACATTATTTTAAATATGCTTATCCTCTAGTCCATTCAACAAAATTAAAAATAAAACAAAATGTTTTAAACATTAATATTAAAACACTTTAATATTAAAGACAGTTCACACTGTCGCTATTTTAAAATTTAATTCAACTAAAAACTTTTTGTGGTCATGCAAAATGGCATAATTGAAGTAATTCACATTGTAGCATGTGCTACTCTTTCATGAATTTTGGATCAATTGTCCAAATATTGGAATATACACTATCACAAGGGGGAAGGCACTTGATACCTTCAGGGAGTGGGAATGAGAAGCATTTATAGATGAATCAGCAAAAAGCTGTGGCAGCTGTTAACTAGAGATCTCCAAATTAAAATCCTTGTGGAACACAATATTACTGAAGAATGAATAACAAAAACAGGGCAATTTAAAACTTTCATATATGGTAGTAAAACTCTATGGAAACTGTAGTGAGTGTTATGAATTTTATCACTGCATTGGATTAAATGACTAACTCATAAAAATAATACAAGTCAGGCTCATTTTATTAAGTTTTATAATTTTGTTGTCTTAGTTTGCTCTCTTAGTTTGTTGTAAGACATGCCGGGGAAGGTGATTCTCTCACACTTATTCATTTATCATATATACCAAGCATGGGACTCCATGGTTTCAGGGCAACATGGAGTTCCAAGTAAACCTCCTAATGCCAGTGCAAACTGGATCCTCGTGTTCTCTGGTTTCTCAGTGTTCAAAGTACAGTGATACAGACCATGACTGTTCCTTCCATATTACTGAGGTTTCTTCCTCATAGGTTAGACAGGACCTTCTTTCTTTCTTTCTGGCCAAAAGAAAAGTTATTTCTGCTTCTTATAACTTGCTATTTTAGTTATTTTAAAAATCAGTGTCATTGGCCTGCACTAGTGCCACCTACCCACGCACCCCCCCCCACCACACACATATGCTAGTGATATATTTTTTTTAATCCCTACACTTCCTTTTAGGTCCCATAAAAATTTCAGATACAACCTCACAATAGCTCTGGCCTTATTTAAGATCCTCATTTGGCTGTACTTGGTTTGCTTGGCTCTAGCTTTTTATTTATGGCCCATTGTTTTCATCAGACCTTGATTTTAGTCCATTTTTAATCTGCCATAGAGCCTCATGTTGTTTGTGTCCACATACAACCCATAATAATTAGGAATATTTCTGCTTAGCATTTGAAGGCAGCACTTTCTATGGTGCTCCCAGCCTTCCTAAGAACCTAAAAAGAAAACCAGGGTGGAGTTCACAGGACAGCCTAGGAGAGACTCATCTCTCCTCTAGGCTCAAATTCATTCTTAGATTTAATCTTATATTACTAGCTAGATGGAAAAATTGTCTAGTGTAGGGCTTTCATTTCATACTGTTTAATATTTGGTATGTTTGGTAGCATTGTGCTTGGTACCTTGTTGAGTGTTTGAAATACGGAAATTAATTTAGTAGTCAAGTTCTTGTGTCTTACTAGTATACTACTAGTATTCTAAATTGTATTCTAAACAAACAGCATGGTAATACATAGTTTCATGTTAGAATTTCAAAAATTTATATGTCTATTTTTTTTACAAAGTATATTAGTGTGTTTGTATATATGTATGCTTGTGTAGATGAAACCTTACATATATTTTAAATTAAGTTTTACTTTTTAAAATTGTATTATCTTAGGACTTCATAGAATTGTTATTAAATAAATCAATAAATATCGAATTACAAGTATTGAAATTGCTTTTGACCAATTTTATGTTGTTTATAACTGATTATAATTTGTTTTTTAATATCAGTTTCTATTCTAGCTTAAGTTCATGTATCATTTTGCCATAGCATGTACATATGCTCACATTATGTGTTATTTAAATAAACTTAGGAGAGAGGCTTATTCCCTTAATACTGATCAATAAAGGTATATTGTACTTTTTAGATTGGTAAATTTCTACTAATGCTGATGATTATTTTTTTCTTTCTTTCTTTTTTTCTTTTTTTAGYACTTCTGAAATTCCTCAGTTCCGGCTGCCTTATGATGTAGTGAATTTTGAGATTGAGCTTATGAAGGATCTTGGTGTAAAGGTGAACAAAAAAATATATGTGTTTATTTCTCAAAAATCAAGAAGGAAGCTCTACACTAAGGATTAACAGCAAATGTCATGCATTTTAGGAAAGAACAATTAAAAGCTACACCAGGCAGAAGCAGAAAGATGCTTCCCTTTGCTTAGGGCATTTGTCTGTCTTCTGTCTGAATGCCACTAGCCTGGAAAAGGGCAATCAATAGTTCTCATCTGGCACGCCTGCATGTGATTAATTGTCTGTAAGAAACAAATTCCTAAATTGCTTTAGGGTTTCAGTGCAGCTAATAGAAGGATTTGGATTCTTTAATCACATTTTTTTTCATGCAAGTTGTATGCACTCTGAAGCAGTATTCCACAATTTGGAACATTATTTCTTAGAGAGGTTTATTTATTATATGCATTATGTCATCATTGTTAATGTAATAGTTCTTTCTGAACATGAGCAGTAAATTTGTAGGGTAGAAAACAAAATATTTCTATTGTTTTGAAAGAAAATATTGTGTTGTTTTACAGATGGTCACAAAGTTTACACATTGTACTTTCAGAATATAGCTGTAGATAATCCTCTTCTTTTAATCAACTAAGAGTTTTTACTCTGGCTTTTAATTCAACATGCTACTATTTGTCTCAAAAATTTTAATTTTTCATATAACACAACAGACTAATAATGTACCATGATTTTCATAATACATTCTATAAATATATTCAGAAAATATTTTGAAAAGTAATTGACAAATTACTTATGGATCTTACATTTACTACTAAAACATTAAATTAAGCAATAAAATGGGGAGCACTCAAAACAGTGTTTTGTACTTTAATACTTACATTTACATTTTGTTCAACACTGGTTGGGTTGGGCACATTTTCACATGTAATTCTAGACAAAAAGTTCAATAGCAAAAATAGTGTATATATTCACAAATTTATGAAAACTAAGTGTTCAAAACACACAATTTAATGATCATTGTTTACAAAAGTAAATTCTTTAAATGTCGTTCAGTTTGAATTTAATTTCTTAATTCTCATTAAATAAAGAAATACTATTGAACTATTGGTAGTATTAGTGTTACTACCAATGATGGGTGAATCATAAATTACTTTAGGCATATAAAATTTATCTAGTAAGTAATTGAAAATTGCATCCAGTTTTCTCAGGACCAGATATGTTACATAAATCAGAGCATACACATTCTTTGTATTTGAAAACTCAAAAGTATAGAAATAGACAATATACTGAGTATAGAAAATATGTTTTAGTTATACTCATGCCACTTTTTAATTTTATGGTTTGGTGGCTTTGGTAAAGTCAATATCTTTAGGAGCCATGATTAGTATCTCTTCAAAAATATTCTACTACCATTTGGGCAAAATAGAAATATATCTGTTTATGTAAATGAGGAGTATCTCTGGCAATATAAGAATCTGATAGCATAGATTGCTTTGGAAAGTTGTAGGAAGAAATTTGTAGGAAGAAATTTTCACCATTTTGTTTATTTGAATTTTAAACCCTATGAATTTATTGCATTATTGAGAAGAAATGAGAACCTACAGACGTTAAAAATATTTGCTTAGCCACATCTTAGATTGTTCTAAGATGTGAAGAAGAGTAGTCAAACTAGTTTTGTGAACAGTGAATTGTATATGCATTTCTGAAGAGAGGAAAGCAGAGAGGCTCTTGTTCACTTTGATTTCTCAAATCCACCAATGAGTTACCGTCCCTGCTTTTACGGCCTATTGACTTGAGCCCTTTCAGGTACATTTTTAATAGTGGTTGGCACTTGCAGGCACTTGTCAACCCCTTTCTATTTTCATCCAGATTCTTCTTGTCATCTGCCACTCAACTAACATGCATTTAAAACTCAACAATAATTTCCTGGCACTAATATGATATTTTCTTTGAGTCCATACTCTTTGACTCCTGTGTAGCTTCAGATTCATAAATCCATATTTGTATGTGTGCATATATATATATATATTTGGTTTTCATGGTCTGGCATTATCTTGTGGATTCTTTTCCTTTTATTTCTAATAGGTTTGTTTTATTTTTTCAGTAAATAATTATTCAGAATTTACTTTTGATAAATCATGAGTCAAAGATAGAACTATCTGTAACCATAAATTTTTTGAACTTGAATCCTGTATTCTTAGTAGTTTAAAAACGTATCCATCATCCAAAATATAAAGTAATCATATCTAGAAGAGTTCAACTCTTAGCTGGGCCCAGTGGTGCACACCTGTAGTCCCAGCAGCTCTGGAGCCTAAGGCAGAAGGATCATGAGTTCAAAGCCAGCCTCTTAGCAAAAGTGAGGCCCTAAGAAACTCAGTGAGTCACTGTATCTAAATAAAATACAAAATATGGCTGGGGATGTGGCTCAGTAGTCTAGTGTCCCCAAGTTCAATCCTCAGTACCCTCACCAGAAAGAAAAAAAAAAAGAGTTTAACTCTTTATATTCAATTCCAACTATCTCCTTTAGCTAAATTTCCTATTGAATAATTTTAGTTTATTTCATATTTAATAGTGATGATTTTCTTCAGTTTAAAACGAATATTTCAAGGCAAATATTATATCACTAACAATGAGAATTTTATGTATTTATGTTATTTTTTCTTTCATTAATTCAATGACTAGAATGTCTAACATGTTAAAAAAGTATGCTAAATATGATTCTTATCCTTGTCTCTGAGACAGATTTTAAATCTGTCTCATCAGAATATTTTTTTTCTATTTTTACCAAAATTTTATCTCTTTTAAAACAATTCTAATGAAGGGCATTAAATTTTCAACTACCATTTTAAAAACTTCTGTACAGTTATACATTGAATTGTATTAATCTTTGATTTTCTGAAATATATTGAATTTTCACCATATTTTATTTTTTCTGGAATTGCAAAATTAGATTTGTTTTTAAATATTAAAATTTCATTTTGCATTTATACTTGTGTTGTGAATATTAGATCTAGAAATATTATGGATAGTAGTAAATAGTTATTTTTGTCCTTACAGAGTTTYAAAGCTAGGGGGAGTATTTTTATTCTGTTTTGCTACAGTTTTTATTTGTTCTCTTTGTGAATTTTATGATAGAGTTGTGCTAACCTTAATTAAAATAAACTTCCAAGCATTTCATTATTTTATAATTGATAAGGATTTTGTCATGAAACAAAATTTTTTTATTAAGCATAAACTTTTTGTGCTTTGAACCTCAAAGACTTTTTAGAGAAAGAGATAGAACTTTGATCATTAAAAAAAATTTCCAAGGTTATTAATCTCTTTCACCACTTTTATTCTTTTATCACTGTTTTAGGTCAATATAGTTATACATAACATTGGAGTTAATCTTGACATAATTATACAAACATAATTTCTCCAATTCAGTCCCCAGTATTTTCCTTTCTTTTTCCTCCTACCTCCACCTGTTCCCTTTCCTTTACTCTACTGATCCTTCCTCTATTTATTGAGAGTTTTATTTTTTTTAAATTAGTGCTTTGTGGCTGTACATATAGGTGAAATTCACTTGGTGTATTCATATACGTACATGGGATAGTTGGTTTAATTTCATTTCACTGTTCTCATGTCTATCTTAGCAATATATATTTTCCTAGAAATGCAAATGATTTTATTCTCTTTTGATGCTGAGTAATATTGCATTGTGTATATATATCCAGTTTCTTTATCCATTCATCTATTGAAGGACATCTAGGTTGGTTCCATAATTTAGCTATTGTATATTGTGCTGCTATAAACATTGATGTGACTGCATCACTGTAGTAAGTCCTTTAGATATCAACCACGGAGTGAGATAACTGGGTCAAATGGTGGTCAAAAGATTCCATTTCAGGAATCTTCATATAGCTTTTCAGATTGGCTCCATCAACTTTCAGTCCCACCGGCAATGTAAGAGTGTGTCTTTTCCCCACATCCTCACCAATACTTATTCTTGCTTATCTTATTAATAACTGCCATTCTAACTGGAGTGAGATGAAATCTTGAGAGTTTTGATTTGCGTTTCTCCAATTGCTGGAGATGTTGAACATTTTAAAAAATATTTGTCCATTGCTTATACATATTTTTCTGAAAAGTGTCTGTTCAGTTCCTTAGCCCATTTATTTATTGGGTTATTTGGTTTTTTAGTGTTAAGTTTTTTGAGTTCTTTATATCCTGGAGATTTGTGCTGTATCTGATGTGCCTGTGGTAAAAAATTTGCTCCCATTCTATAGGCTCTCTATCACCTTACTGATTATTTCTTTTGCTGAGAAGAAGCTTTTCAGTTTGAATCCATCCCATTTATTGATTATTGATTTCTTGTGCTTTAGGAATCTTGTTACAAAAGTAGGGGCCTAATCAGACATGATGAAGATTTGGACCTGCTATTTCTTCTGTTAGGCACAGCATCTCTTGTCTAATTCCTCAGTCCTTGAATTTTTTGCATGGTGAGAGAGGGGCTTAATTTCATGTTGTTGCATATGGATTCCCAGTTTTCCCAGCACCATTTGTTGAAGAGGCTATCTTTTCTCCAATATGTTTTTGGCATCTTTGTCTAGCATGAGATAACCATATTTATGTGGGTGTGTCTATGCATCTTCTATTCTATGCCATTGCTCTGTTTTGGTGCCAATACCATGCCATTTTTGTTACTATTGTTATATAGTATAGTTTATATTGTGATGTTATCTGCTTCACTCTTCTTGCTAAGGATTGCTTTGGCTATTCTGGGTCTCTTATTTTTCCAGATGAATTTCATGACTGCTTTTTCTATTTCTGTGAGGAATTTCATTGGGATTTTGCTTAGAATTGCATTATATCTGTATAGTGTTTTTGGTAGTATAGTCAGTTTGATAATATTAATTCTGCCTATGTAAGAACAAGGGTGATTCTTCTATCTTCTAGAGTCATCTTTAATTTGTTTCTTTAGCATTCTGCAGTTTTCATTGTAGTGGTCTTTCTCCTCTTTTGTTAATTTTATTTCAAATATTTTTTGAGGGTATTGTAAATGGGGTAGTTTTTCCTAGTTTCTCTTTTAGTGCATTTGTTACTGATGTACAGAAATGGGTTTGATTTATGGGTATTGATTTTATGTACTGCTACTTTGATGAATTCAGTTATTAGTTCTAGAAGTTTTCTGGTAGAAGTTTTCAGATCCTATAAGTATAGAATCATGTCATTGTTGTTTTTTATTTCCTCCTCATGGAATATTTTGTCAAAGATGTTCTGTAGTGTAGGCTTTCTAGTTGTAAATTCTTTTAACTTTGTTTGTCATGGAAGGTTATTATTTCATCATTAAATCTAAAACTTAATTTTGCTGGATAAGAGATTCTTGGTTGGCATCCATTTTCTTTCAGAACTTGGTATATATTATTCCAGGAGCTTTTAGCTTTGAGGGTCTTGGTTGAGAGATCTGAGGAGATTCTAATTGATTCCCCCCATCTGAGGAGATTCTAATTGGTTTTACCCTAATCTGATTCCTTACTCTTGTTGCTTTTAAAATTCTCTCCTTATTCTGTATGCTAGGCATTTTCATTATAATGTGCCGTGGTGGAGATCTATTGTGATTTTGTACATTTGGTGTCCTATAAGCCTCTTGTAAAATTTGATTTTCCTATTTATTTTTTATGTTTGGAAAATTTTCTTAATTATTTCATGAATAGACTGTTCATTCCTTTTGTTTGTAACTCTATGCCTTCCTCTATTCCAATAATTCTTAAATTTGGTCTTTTTCTTTTCTCCCATAATTTTCAAATGTTCTGCTCATGTTTTCTTAATCATCTTCACTGTGTGGTCAACTTTATTTTTAAGATTATATATTTTGTCTTCATTGTCTGAGGTCTGTCTTCCAAGTGATCTAATCTGTTGGTGATGCTTTGAATTGAGTTTTTAATTAAATTTATTGCTTCCTTCATTTCAAGGATTTCTGATTTTTTCCCCAAAACCTCTGTCTCCTTATTAAAGTAATCATTTGCTTCCTGTATTTGCTTATGTAGTACTTTACCAAAATGATCTTTTGTTCTCTGTGTTTGCTCTCTTTATATCACCTTAATTCACAGAACATTTTAATTAGGCACATCCTGAACTCCTTCTCTGACATTTCTTCTTCTGTGCTGACCATGTATTCTAATAAGGTAGTACCTTGGTTTGTTTGGAGTACTTTCTTCCCTTCTAGCAGAGCATATTTAAGGTGTTACAGTTTTTACCCCATAGGTTTATTGTGTCCCTGCAGGGTTCCAATACCTCTCCTTTAAGGGGGAGAACAATATTAACAGATCCCAATACAAACCATGTACAGCCTTAAACCAAATAGCTTCTATTAAGACATTCATGGTTTTGTTACAATATACATAAATTGTGAGTTTACTTATTATCTACAATATAAAGAGCAGATTTACAAAGGGTCTACAGTTTCTGATGGTGAACAAAGAGAGAACCAGGGGTCCAGTGTACGATGATGTGTTAACCAGGTAGGAGGTAAGGATATAGAGTTAATATAACTTAAAAAGTGTGAAAGAGGAATCAAGAGAATTTGACTAGTGGCAGGAGGAAAGAGAGAAAGTGATTTGGGGGAGACAATAGAAAGAGTACAATAAACAAACATAAAAATTAAGAAAAATAAAACTGTAAAAATAGGAGATAAAAGAATACACAACTCAACTGTAATATACAATTATATACCCCAATTTTAGTAACTTAATCCATGAAAAGTACTTGGTTTCACAAATGTTGGGGATGTGAGGGAGAGAGGAGAGAGAGAGAGAGAGAGAGAGAGAGAGAGAGAGAGAGAGAAGAAAAAAGAAAAGGAAAGAAAAAGTCTCATAGGAAAATTAAAAGATTGTTTTTGTTGGAGTTCAGTATTTTTTCTGCTTCCCTTCTCATCCAATAGGTGGGGTTGWSTATTATGTGTTTGTAGGATTATAAATCAGTACAGTCACTATGGGTGATACATATGGAAGTTCCTCAAAAACTGAAAATAGATCTAACTTATGATCTAGCTGTACCACACCTTGGTATTTATCCAAAACGATGGAAGTAAGCATACTTTAGAAATATGTGAGTGCTCATGTTTACCACAGCACAATTCACCATAGTCTAGTTATATAATTGTCTAGGTGTGTCAACAGATGAATGGATTAAAAATGATACATATATCCAATGGAACCCTATTTAGCCATAAAGAAGAATGCTATTATGTCTTTTTCAGGAAAATAGATAGGACTGAGCAGCATAATATTAAGCAAAATAAGTGAAATACAGAAAGACATATGCTATATGTTTTCTCTCAAATTCTAGGGAAGAAAAAAAAAGGATCCCATGAAAGTAGAAAAGACACAAGTGTGGTATTTGATGTGTTTCAGAGTTTTTATTTATTAGCTCATCTTGCTTATCTCCTTATTATGAACTTCCAAACAGTTATCTTATATGATATTATAAAAGTTAGATTTACTATCTTAAGAAGACAAAAAATGACACTCTGTGATCTAGTCTAATTCATCTTGTCCCCATACTTCTCTTTCCAAACCTTGATTTGCACTTTGTGCTCCAGAAATGCTACATTTTCAGTAGACCTTTACATGCAATACCCTCTTCTTTCTCTTTGCTGATGATGCCAGCACTGCCCTTCATTCTTCCTTTAACCTCAGGAGACACAGCATAGCTGTTTTTTATGTTTCCTCTGAAAGGATACTAGGTATGTGKTTTTTTATTAAGGTTGTTTCATCTTTTGCCCTTTCCGATCGTCATTTGTAAGACTGAGGATACTTGTAAGACTTCTTATGTCTGTTATGTGGATTGACTGAGTCAGACTACACAGAAGAGAGCTCTGCTTAAACACTTTGTGTGTGAGCTGCAATCATTATTATTTCACTGGTAAACACTTTTCATTCTCTCTAGTGCAGAGTAGAGACATTTGCTTTTAGGAACATGTTGCCTTCAGAACCCAAGGAACCTGACCAGGCATTCTGCTTTCTTCTTTGTCATGGGGAATATGAGATGCAGCCATATGAAATTTCCTTTAGAAGGAATACACTGGTTCACCCCTGGCATCTGGCTCTCCATTTTAGTTGAAGTGGCTAGTCCCTGATTATAGKGTATGTCTTCCACCCTCTGGAGTCATGTGTCTTAAAGTCTTCAGCATACTTAATATCTCTTGCTTATGCTATCTGATATGCATGATTTTCCCAATGTAATTGATCATGATGACTTTTTTAGGAAGTCCAGATTGCTACAGGTTACATATATTATTAGTGAAGTTGACATATTTCTGATACAAACTGTAGAGGAATATTCTTATCTATACTCCCTGAGTGTGAACTGTTGATGATTCATTTTCTAATCAGAATAGAAAAATATATGCATTCACCAAATCAATGGCCACATGCAGTTCCCCCATGGCATTATAAATTTGTCAATATCACATGTATCACATAAATTGCATCAGGGTTACTTTTAACATAAGCCTCCCATAGTCTACATTCATCCTCCTGCAATCATCTGATCTCAACAAGGGCCAAACTGGTGAATTAAATGGAGATTTGATAGGGGCTTCCATTTCTCCACATTCTGCCTTCCCTTCTCCCCAGTCTTTGGATGTAATATGTGTTTGATTTACTCCCTTGATCAAGTGTCAGAAGTTTTCATGTGACATTCCTAACAATGATAGTTGATAGAGGTCTTATTCCATAACCAGAGAAGCGACATGGAGATTACTTCAACTGATAAGTGAAACAATTTCAATAATGCTCTTGGAGACTAGGAGAATACTCACAGGGTTGGTGGTCTGAGAAAGCCCACTGTTAACCAGATTTCATTCAGCCTCCCTATTTCACTCTTCCATAGTTTGCCAGTCTGTGTTTCCAAGTATCAATATCAGCGAAACACCTGGCTCTATTATTTCTTAAAATGTCTGATTATTTCTCTTTTCCCAGTGCACAGTTGCCTGGGCAGATGGCCATGGTTTCTTCTGGGCATTAGGGTAATTGTTAAGCATCTACTTGCTAGGATGTTGTAGTGTCCTCTTCCTAGGAACTTGGCTTCCTTTTCAGTCTGCAGGTTCCAAATCTGAAAATTGATTCATGTCTGGGGATTGAACAAAGTACTGTGACTTTTAGTGGAGGTGACTACCCTAAACCTCCTGACTCTCTTCATCTTACCCAATGTGGTTTGTGCAAATTTTGTCTATTCTGTATCTGTTGAATTCTCACTTCCTCTGCATTCTTATCCTTATGATCTTTTGCTAGAATTCATCTTTCCATTCTTGGAACTCCCATATGCACGTGGCAGTCACATTGTCTTTTGTTGTAATTATTTATTTGTGTAGGCTTTCTGCCCCTAGTTGATTAAATGGAAGCTGGTATGGCATATCATTTATCATTTTATTGCTTCAAGTACCCTGCATAATGCTCCAAACATATTAAGCAAGCTAGGAAAGTTTACTGTTTTGATTTTAATTATACTGCCTTTTCTTCTACATTTATCCCTTAAATAAAATATATTTATATTCTATTAATAAAATATTTATATTATATTTTCCTTTTTTAAAAGATTCATTTAAAAAATTGGCACAACAGCTTTATTTTGTTTATTTAGTGGTTTGTTTGTTTTTTATTTAATGTGGTGCTGGGGATCGAACCCAGTGCCTCATGCATGCTAGGCAAGCACTCTACCACTGAGCCACGACCCCAGCCCCTATATTATATTTTCTTTATGTAAGCCTATATAGTAGAAGATAAAAGTATTTCTACATATTATTTATGGAATATTATATATAGATTTTTGTCAAATTTCTTTTAATGTTAAGTGTTATGGTTTTTATTAAAATTACATTATTCAAAATGTTATTTCTTGTAGATAATTTGTGGTAAAAGTCTTTCAGTGAATGAAATGACTCTCAACACTTTGAAAGAAAATGGCTACAAAGCTGCATTCATTGGAATAGGTGAGTAGCTTACTTATAAATATTTTTATTGTGTTTTTTAAAAATTCCAGAAATTATCCACAGAAATGACTGCATTGAGACATTTTTATTGGAAGTTGTATCTGTCCACAGAATAACAGACAGTATTGATTGGTGATATAACTAAATTTCCAATATATACTTAGTTGTGCTGCTTCATCTTCTTTATGGATAGACTTTGGCAAGATGGTCTTTTGTCTTCCGATTCTCTTACCACATCATGGTAATGAAAGACAGTGGGTATCTCTAGAAAGCAAAGATTTTTTAAATCATGAAATGGAAACTCAGATAAGTGTAGATGCAATATCTTTTTTCTATGATAATGTAATGTAATTTACAAACAATTGAAAAATTACCTCTTTTTCTATTTATTTTTTTAAATTTCTGAGAACATTTAGAAAGTTTTGCCTTATTTTCTCTTTCTTTTTTTTCTTTTTTTCTTTCTTTCTTTCTTTTTTTTTTTGTATTCAGCTGAAATTAAAGATGTTCATAGTTCTGAAAGTCCCAGGGACTTTGTTGAGCTAGATGCAGACACACTTGTTTGTACTATAGCTCCTTATTTTGCCTACATACCCCATGGATGTTGAGTTTTCTAACATTTTTTTCTACTTATTGTTTATTTTGAGAAACATAGAGATCAAATACTTGAATTTTTTGCCTAATAATCTTTGTATTTATTATTTCATATGATTATACTCTAGACAATGATGACATATAAACTGAGTATGTTAAATTGTTACCACTTTAATAGAATTTATTTCTCATATCTCTTAGTTTTTCTCTTCTGCAGTTTACACTCTCTGAGCATACATACATAATAATAACTCTTCATAGAGAGGTAAAATTTCACATCTTCTTCTCACATCTCTTTAAGTGATCACATGCTGCGTGTTTCATTTATTTGGGGGGGTCTCCTCTTTTGTTGCATCTGTAGACTGAAATTATCACTAATATTTCATCACCCACTAGATTTTTCTTTTTAGAAAGCAACATATTATGAAAGAATTGGTATCAAGTCTAAGGGAAGTACTGTCACTAGTTTTATTTAGATGAAAATTTTGGGGAAGGGAAATAAATTTGCACTGGCTTCCAGTTCCTAAATGTCAGTATTGAACATCCTTCCTGTGAGTCAAAGTGTCATCAATATTTTCTGTATTATTTTCATTTAAGTACAATATTTGGTAATTAATTCAAGAATAGGAAGGGGAAAACAGATCTGTTATTTTCCCTAGATTTTATTTTCAGAGGTGACTTTGTTTTTATTTTACAACATTACCTGACTTTGGTTTCATTTTACAACATTATATTTATCTTGAGAATTTAATTTAAAGAAATAGAGCGAGTATATACCATACAGTATATTATACCAATACTAGCAATTTGTAAGTTCTTGTTACTATCAACAAACATACATTCAAAATGATAGTTTCATTGTAAATGGAAAATTTAGCTAGGCATTAGGTATCAAATATTGGTGATGTTATCAACTATTTAAAGTTTATCTTTGAGCTTTCCAACAGCAGTTATACTAAAATATGTAGTTTCCACTATTGGAGTAGTATCTACTAATACAATTGCACATATTTCTATGAACTTTTTTTTCCACAAAGAATGTTTGCACTAAGGAAATAGGGGCCAAATAAATAATTAGTATATTGAAATATCACCAAGTTAATCTCATAAGAAATAAAGTGTTACAAAAATTTGTATTAAATGGTTTATAACTCTTAGTAATTGTAACTGTAAAATTAAGATACATGTTCTATCGAAAATAATCATGTTTCTTGTTTTTATTTTATTTATTCCATTGAGCTCCTTTACTTCAGTTATTTGATAGTGCTACACCCTTTCATAATACAGTGGTCTCCATTTGACTCTGCACTGTGTGAATGCAGTGTTTAAAATGTGGTGTCCTTTCATAGTTATGTTGCTGTGCATTTTCATGCTGAGCAGTGAATCTTTTGACATTTTGGTGTAGTGATGTGAGGAATGCAGTTATGTTCTGTTTCAGTATTTTGTATGAAATATATACAAGAAAGTTTCATCTTGTCAAAAAAAATCTTTAGTCTGCAGAAGACAAGTAGCCTCATCCTCTAGGAAATGTTTATTTGACACTCTTGATTGTTGATTTGGGAATTTATGACCTTTCTATTAGAACAGAACTGTCTGTTTTTTGGACAGCCTCACAACCTTACATGCTTTTGTTCATTAACCTTGCTTCTATATAATAATTAAACTTCACTCACTTATTTATCCTCCCTTTCTCACTGAATTTGGAGGAATAAATAGCAGCATAGGGATTTTGTATTGCTTTGGATATAGGTTTGGACACTTTAAGAAAACAACAGAGGCTGAAACAATGAGCAATCAATCTGTCCTCAGTAGTCTCTCCTGTAACAACGGGAGCCATTTTTAATACTTACCTTCCATCTTTGGTCTTTGGTGGGTAACCATGTTCACATTCCTATTAGCAGAAGTGGGAAAGGAAGAAAGGCAATTCCTTCCTCTTAGGTTTAGGATGCAGAAGTTGTACATTTCACTTCCATTTTCATCTTATTGTCTATAACGTGGTTATATGACATACCTTACAGCAAAGGATGATGCTGGGATATGTTGTTTGTTTGTTTGTAGCAAGGTGAACAGAATCCTCATTAAACATCCAGTATTACAGGGAAGGAGAATAATGGATATAGAGGATAGAGACACCTGAGGTTTTCTGGTACAGGTATACATTATCATTGATATTTGACATATGAGATCAGTATCATACTTAGTAGCAAAAGGAAAAAGTACTCTTATGACTTAGTGTTTTCATATTGGCTACGTAGTTAGCTTATAAAAATGGTTATGCCTTCTCTTTGTATAGTTGGGATTGTGTACTTGTAGATATCTTGTGCTTTTAACAACTGTCTTATTCTATACTATTTTACCTAAAATATGCATATTAAATATGACAGCAAGGTTCATTCAGTAAGCACACTGTATTAACATAAGTGTGTTCTGATGGCTACTTATTTCAAATATTACATGTAATATTGCTGGGGAAAAGTCACTTTTAGATTTTCTCCTAACAATACAAACGAAGTCCATGAAGTCCTTATCTAATTGTATGTATATTATCATGAGTCTTAAACAGTTATATCTCTTTAACCCTGAGAGGTTTAGTCTCTTATAAGTAGTGAATAAAGCCTGATGTCTTAGTCAACATTAGATTGAGTTATCTTTGCAATAATTGTTCTTTTTTAATAGGCACTTAATTTGGGGGAGTTTTACTGTAATAAAAGCATCTGCACAGGGAGTTACTGTCACTGTTCAGAAGTAGCATATTAGAGCATTCTCTATATAAGACATTTTTAAAATGCTTTTTAAACCAGGTGGCTGGCTCACCTTGGTTAGTATTGAAATTAATATAATAGATTATGACCATTTTTTATTTTACAAAAATAAGCAGAAAACAACAGAAGAGAAAATATCAAAGTATATTACATTTAGCTTTTCAATTTTGAGGTTTACTTTTTCTTCTTCTTTCTTTTCTTTTTTTTTTTTTCTTTTTTTTTGGGTGGGGAACTGGAGATTAAACCCATGAGTCCGTGAGTGCTCTATTGCTAAGCTACATCTCCAGCCCTTTTTATTTTTTTAGTTTAAGACAAGGTATTGCTATGTTGCCCATGCTGATCTTGATCTTTCAGTCTTCCTTATCCTCCCTAGTTGTGCAGATTTTAGGCATCTTTCACCATGCCTAGCCAATTTTGTGTATTTAATGTAAGTGCTTGTACACACAAACTGCATAGTATATAAAAAGGTTTTTCTAAATGTGGCTTAATAGTGAAAATTTGATATCCACTGCTAGACTTTGTAGTAGTCACCTTTTATTTCCCGTAGTATGCCCAATGCCGACGACCAATAAGCAACTATTTCGTAAATTAAGTATTGAATGATTGCAGTATTCCAGGCACTCGACTAATAATTAAAATAATAAAGAAATTTGAATTCAGTGTTTTACATGGGTAACAACTTTATCAAAAACTCTCAGTTTTTGCTTTTTTCTTTTGGAGTATTCATTATATGCTATTTTCTATCTCATATGTTCACAAAACATGGTAGTACTGAAAACAATCTAAGTGGCCAAGTAACAGAAAGAACTTACTAAGACACCCTCTCATAATTTGTTAAAGTTTGGTGTATTTTTCTGATGAGGTTTTCAAGATTTTTGTTATAAAATGTGGGAGACAGAAGGAGTTATAGGGGAGAACATAGTGAAATCCTTGGTAACTGTCACAGTTCATACCATGAAGCAGGGAGTGCAAACAGATACTATAGAGCTGAATAACCCAAATGCTTTAATTGTGTCTAGCCAAAAGATTTCTTTTGAATTTGCTTCATGTGATGTATCACTACTACTACCCTTTCTTAAGGCTGCTGGACTACTGTTGTAGCCCCTTAACTAGTCCCTTTGGTCACAATTACCCATATAGCAGAAATAGTGTTTTTGCCTAAATCAGATCTCATCCTGTTGTTCTCTCATTAAAAATTTCCTATAGTATCCCACTTGCTTCTGGATTAAAAAAAAATTCTCAATGATGGCTCATGTGCTTATTAGCTCAAGACCCTGGGTTCAATTTCCAGAACCACTAAAATTAAAAAACAAAACAAAACAAACAAAAAAAAAACAACTGACAAAGTTTCTCATGATTTGTCACAGTTTATGTCTCCAGTTATCTTATCCAATAATTTATGTGTTTTAGCCATTTGGAATTTTTTTCAGTTTTACCACATCTACATATTTTCTGCCTCAGTTTTTTGGACATGAACCTAGATCCATCTTTATTTGCATACCTATGTTCTTAAATTGGACATCCTTTTTCTACTTTTACACTTTAGGCTGAATAAATGCAAACTCTTCCTCAGTGCATCCCCACGCCACTGTGTTCCTATTCCTTTTCTGGATATCCAGATCAGAGTCTGTACTTTAGTATATCATT